ATGTTTTTGTTTCTTTTTTTTTATAGAGTTTAAAATGTTACTAAAATTAGGATATTGTATGTATCTCAGAATAGGGAATAAATATGTTATTGAAGTAAGCATTTAAGAGTATTATTTTGTTATACAAATTAACTGTTACTAATTTAGTAGCAGTTAGTTGTATTATTTGACCTCTATAGACAGTTGGAAGTAAAGATTTGGCTGCAGCTTCAGGAAGCAGTTAATTATGTTTGTCAATTCTCGTAAAAGTCATGAACAATGTGGAAAATCATGGAATTTTGTAAACAAATGTTTCAGTACTGGAAATACTGCAATTAATATCAATGGTTTTTATCAGGAGTTCTTGGAAGAGTCCTAGAAAGTCTTAACTGCATCATTCACACATTCCCCATTTTTATTGTTCATCTGAGTTTCATGAAACATGATCTCTAGAAAATGAGACTTGTAAAATGGGAAATAGGTCAACTTGATAACACCTATATAGCATGCTTTGGGCTATGTACCTCTGTCTACAAGTGAAAAAAGTGTAAAGTGACTATTTTTGGAATAACAATAATATAACAAACTCAAGACTCGTGTGGCAGAAATATAAGATCTTGAAGTTGCTGATAGGATGTTATCATCGTCCCTAAGTTTCAAGTGGCAGATGAAGGAAAGCCAGCTAGTCAACACCACTTACTGCCAACTCGTGGGCCACTCTAATCGAATAGTGGTATTTGACCATCACTCTTATAATGCACCACCAACATCTCTAAAGTGCTCAGCATGCTTTTTCCTCTCTTTTTGTTTTTGTGTGTGTGTGGGGGGGGGGGGTAATGGGGCACGATCCCATGAAACCATTCCAGCACACTAACCACTGGGCCCTAATAGTGTAAAGAACATGGACGTTTCAGAATTTTTCATTTTGCATATCCAATCTTCAAGATAAACACTTCAAAGTAATTAACAACGTTTTTAGCCTAAATTCTTCATCAGTTATTGCTTAGAATTCGTTAATAAAGAGAGAGAGAATAATCCACATCCAAATGGCAAGAGTTTAGTAGAATGTGTGTCATAAACCTAATTGCCATGCATGAAATTGTCAAATGTTTGCTGTTAAAAACAGCCCATCAACTTATACCCGATTAGGTCACCCTTTATTATACATTGATCGATATAGACAGGGATTTGTTGAGTGGCATTTTGGATCCCATTATAAAATATTTTTGGTAGCAATCTTCTGCTTTTGTGGGACAACCAGGACTATAAATTCAGTATTGTGACATATGTTATTAATATCATTTTACTTCTTTGTGTTCTTAGTTTTGTTTTGGATCTAACACTAATAAAATTCTTTAAAGAAATGATTCATGATTTTACTAGGAGTCATACTCTGTGATAACCCAATATACATGAAAGTTCCCTTAACAGTAAATAAAGTATTCAGAACAAATATTGTTTTAATATCCTTTAAATGTGGGTTTGTGTTGTTGTTCAATAAAATTTACAGGCTGAACACCATGATGAAATATAAAGGTTTTATTACCCACAAGGTATCCAGTTCTTTATAAAATTCTTTTTTAGGTATAATTGCAGTAGTAAACTGAGAAAACATTTAAACATAGCTGAATGTAAATGTGTTGGAAAACCATGAGGTACTAAACAATTACTGACTGGTTTTGAGGGTAATAAGCTGGCAACTCTCACTCCAAAGGTCAACAACTATTGGGATTACTGTGTGAGTAAAAGACATTTCAAAACACTATCTTATGATTTGCCCCTTGTTTAGGGTTACTGGTTAGGAGTGGAATCCTCTGAAACTCATATAACTTGGTGATAAGTGGTAAACTGAAAGATAGATTTGGCTTCACATTTATTTTTTTTTGCATTTCAAACAGCTTGGCTGGCTGATTAATTCATAAGAATAAAGTATTAGCATCATTGCTGCATATTCTTGAAATTCCTTTATAAATGCAGGACTTCTGTGTGAGTACAAAATATTATTTGGTTTTCATAACACACTAGAGGAGTTTCTTAGCTCTGTCCGAAGCACAGTATTCGGGAGAAAGAAGCAAGGCTTTATAATTTGTTATTAACTGGAAGTTGGGAAAAGTTAAAGTATAATTAGAGGAAAAATGAAAAGGTATGTGTTAGTGCCTTGTTCAGTAATATGCAATCATGTAGAATTAGAATTTCTTATAACTGCTTGTTTTATATTCCCCTCTTTTATTTTAGATTTAATGAATGTTTTATCATGGTGTTAATCACAGTATGCCAGGGATGTGCAGATTTAGTCTGGTATGACTGGATATCAACACTTATGCTAATTGCTGAAACACCCTTAGAATAGGTAACTTGTACAAGGCAAGAACAAAACAGAGGTGGGGGGGGGGTTAAAATTTTTTTTATATGCATTTTACTGTATGTATTACTACTAGAATGTTTTGTACAGCTGTCATTAAATTTTTTATAAAATACAATAAAGCAATATTTATTTAATTTTAGTGTAGTTCATGTACTGTTCAAATTAGTAAATTAGGTCCTTGGAAATGACAGTGTGATTCTGAAAAGTTATGGAATTTTCTTCCATTAGCCTATGCAAACTGTGGTTTGTTGTTATAGTTAGACACTACACCTTTAGTGGGTAGGAATATTCTGCTTAAGTGATTAAAGAGAACATCTTTTATAGGTAGTTATGATTGAATAATATACATATTATATGAAGTAAGTAGTCTAACACATGTTTTAAATTTCTAAGTAGTAATTTCAATGGCTTTAATGGCTCTTCCACCCCTATCATTGCTGTTATTGAGCACTTATTATCTTTGACATAATACATTAACTACAGCCATAGATGGCATCATATCCTTACACTAAAAAAAAAAAGAAGGAATGCAGTGAAACATATTAGGAAATAAATATAAATTTTGTCTTCTACCTTCTTGAAAATCTTGGTTTGAAAGAAAGAGATGGTATTCAAACATGTTAAAATGGCTGAGAAAACCACTAGGGGGACATTCTGAGCTTCCGATTGGTTATTCATGTCATATATAGAAATAAGTGTATATATAAGGGAGCTTTTCCAAAAATGAAAAGAGGTGGGTGGGGTGCCACTGTGTTTGATTTATTACATGAGCAATATCTT